GGTTTTGGGGGCGATTTGGAGCAGAATTTATGTTTTTTGGTTGGTGATTTGGGCCGGAATCGTCCGGTTTTGTGACATTTTGGGGCAGAATCAATGGTTTTGGGACAATTTGGGCCAGACTTGAGGGTTTTAGTGACAATTTGGGTCAGAATTCATGTTTTTTGGGACAATTTGTGGCGGAATTGAGGATTTTGGATGGTGATTTGGGGCAGAATTGTCCATTTTTGGGACATTTTGGGCCAGAATCCATGTTTTTGGTGATTATTTGTGGCAGAATTGATGGGTTATGGCACAATTTGGGTGAGAATTGATGGTTTTGGTGATGATTTGGGCCAGAATTGATGTTTTTTGTCATGGTTTGGGCCAGAATTGAGGTTTTTGGTGACAATTTGGGTGAGAATTCCTGGTTTTGGTGGCAGTTTGGGTGACAACTCATGGGTTTTTGTGCCGATTTGGGGCAGAATTCCTGTTTTTGGTGACACTTTGGGTGACAACTCCTGTTTCTGGTGACGATTTGGGGCAGAATCGATGATTTCAGTGACAATTTGGGGCAGAATCGATGCTTTTAGTGACAATTTGGGCCAAGCTCTTTCGTTCCCAGGGCCGGAACGGAGCCTTTTGGCTCCTCCAGCACTTTGGTTCCAACCCCAACCACTTCTCTCCAGCAGCAGCACCATGGAGGCCCCTTGCGCTGGTGCTGGAGGACCTACTGGAGGACCTGCTGGAGGACCTGCTGGAGGACCTGCTGGAGGACCTGCTGACCTGCTCCACGTTGACTTCCCGGAGATCACCAGCGCCTTGTTGGCCAACCTGAACCAGCAGAGGGTGGAAGGGAAGCTCTGTGACATCTCCATCCACGTCCAAGGCCGCGTCTTCCGCGCCCACCGCGCCGTCCTGGCCGCCTCCTCCCCTTATTTCCACGACCAGGTGCTGCTGAAGAACATGACCTCCATCGTCCTGCCCAACGTCATGGACCCGGGGGCCTTCGAGACCGTCCTGGGCTCGGCCTACACGGGCCACCTGTCCATGGCCCCCCAGGACATCGTCAACTTCCTGACAGTGGGAAGTGTCCTCCAGATGTGGCACATCGTGGACAAGTGCACCGAGCTCCTCAAGGAAGGACGAGCAGCTCCAGCACCTTCTTCTTCTTCTTCTTCCACCTCTTCCTCCTCCTCTTCCCACCGCCCCCACTCCAGTCGCACCAGTGAGAACCAGTCCCCCAGTAGCAGCAACTACTTCAGCCCCCGGGATGTGGCCGAAGGGGTTGACCCACCCCCCAAATTCCAAGCTCGGGGGGTCCCTGAGGAGGTGGTGGTTGGGAAGGGGGGAGGGGACCTGCTGGAAGGGGAGGAAGGCAGCGAAGAGGATGGAGACCCTGCCCAGAGACCCCTCTACATCCAGCCCAGCATCGTCCCCCAGAAGCAGTGGGTCTATGTCAAGCAGGAGTGGCTGCAGGAGGACCTGGTCCTCACCTGTGAGGAGGATGAAGACCCCGTGGAAGGTCCCGCCCGGGGTCGTCCCCAAGCCCCCAAGCTGGAGGAGCAGGTGAATTTCTGCGAGTCCTCCCAAGGTTTCTCCTCCCCTTACGAGCACCTGGAAGAACCCGGCGAGGCCGCAGAAGGCGGAGGAGGGACCTTCCCACCCCGTCCCCTCCTCCCCATGGACATGCAAGGCAACCAACTCCTGGTCTTCCCCACCCAACCCCCTCCCGTGGAACACGGCGCCGTCCCCGGGGCGGGTTTGGTGGCCGACGGCAACAAGATCTTCATGTGCCACTGTGGGAAAGCCTTTTCCCACCGGAGCATGAGGGACAGGCACGTCAACATGCACCTCAACCTCCGGCCCTTCGCCTGCCCCGTCTGCAGCAAGAGGTTCAAGATGAAGCACCACCTGACCGAGCACATGAAGACCCACACGGGGCTCAAGCCCTACCAGTGCCACGTCTGCTCCAAGAAGTTCATGTGGCGCGACAGCTTCGTGCGCCACAAGGGCCACTGCGAGAGGAGGCACCGGGGGGCGGGGG